TAGCATGTCTGGCACAGCAGCACTCAGCGGTGGCGTGACTTCATTCAGGCCACGATAGTCTACTGTCAGCCTCCACTCTCCATTAGACTTCCGCACTGGCCATATGGGACTGTTAAAGGGTGAACGAGTCTTGCTGATCACTCCTTGGCTCTCCAGTCGACGAATTAGCTCATGAATGGGAATCAAAGAGTCTCGGTTGGTGCGATATTGCCGCCGATGCACCGTGGTGGTAGCGATTGGCACTTGTTGGTCTTCGACCTTCAGCAACCCCACAACAGAAGGGTCCTCTGAGAGACCAGGCAAGGTGGACAGCTGTCTAATTTCCTCCGTTTCCAAGGCAGCTATACCAAAAGCCCACCGGTACCCTTTTGGGTCCTTGAAGTACCCTCTCCTGAGGTAGTCTATGCCAAGGATGCACGGAGCATCTGGGCCAGTCACAATGGGGTGCTTCTGCCACCCATTCCCAGTTAGACTTACTTCGGCTTCCAATACAGTTAGCTGTTGGGATCCCCCTGTCACCCCAGAAATACAGATGGGTTCTGCCCCTCTATAGCTTGATGGCATTAGGGTACACTGTGCACCGGTGTCTACTAGAGCCTTATACTTCTGTGGGTCTGATGTGCCAGGCCACCGAATCCACACAGTCCAGTAAACTCGGTTGTCCCTTTCCTCCCCCTGGCTGGAGGCAGGGCCCCTCTAATACTCATCACAGTACTCATTTCTCACTTCTTGTACATACGAGTCAGAAGTTTCTTCATTAACATCAGGAGTAAAATCAGCCCTTCTACTCTGTCTGGGGAGCTGCCCGCTGGAAACTGGAGCAGCAATTTTCCTGGAAGAACCTCTTTCTGTGATTGTTTTCCCTTGCAATTCACGTACCCGTGCCCCTAGGGCTGCAGTAGGTTTTCCATCCCACTTCCTCATGTCCTCTCCATGGTCACGCAGGTAAAACCACAGGGTGCTCCGTGGTGTGTACCCTTTATACTCTCTCTCTCAAGCAAAAGAATGCTGACTCCTAATAGCTGAGATATTGGTCCGTACAGGTGAGGAGCAGGACCTGTCCTCTTTGAATCGCTGGAACTCCCGGGACAGTTTCTCCACAGCCGAGATGAGGGAAGATGAGAGACGTTCTTCGTATTGCCAGAGTTGACCAGCCAATTCATCCACCGTTTGTTCCTCTCCATCTTTCCAGGTCATCACTGCCAATGAATTGGCATATGACGATGGTGCGCTCCTTATAAACTTCCGCCACATGGGTCGTGTGCACTTGACTTCATCTGGATCTTTGGATAGCTGTTCATTGCTCAGGTCACCATAAATCACCTCCAGCACAGCTAATTCTCTCAGGAACTGGTTACTGGATACCCTTCTCCAGTATAGATACAAATCTATAAATCTCTTTAAGATTAAACATTTCTCTATTTCACTGTATAGGTTTAAAGGTCTAGATCTAAACCAGTGTAAGTATGAAAATTCACAGTAGAATTTAGTTCAAACATATGTATGTCTATACAACATCATTCACTGAAATGACTTTTTCTGGGAAAAAAATAACCCATCGAAATAGATTTTGCTTATTTCTGAACACTTTTTTGACTTAACATTACATACATGCAACCTGTCTTAGAAAACAGTTCCTATAAAAGGCTGTTTGGCTGATTTTGTTAAGGCCATATAAATACATATTTTTGAAGTAGAGAAAATTAGTAGTCCTTATTAAGCCATAAACGAGTAAATTGATCTTGTTGCAAATTATTTTTGAATGTGATATTCTGACATAGTAAGCTTGAAAAATAATTCAGCTGCAGATAATTCTACTAAATTCTGAATATATAAAAATTTTTTAAATGAAAGCTTAAATCAAAGTATACCTTTTACAACAGTAGTAAATTTGATACCATTTTCTACAATACTTTAACCATTATATCTAATAATACACGTCTCAGTTCAAGACATGTTTACCATAGCCTTAAGGCAACAATTATCTTCACTGCATTATAAACTTCAATCTCAGATTTCCAGGTTTATTACAAGAAACACAAGGATGAAGGAAAATAGGACATACTTCACATTATCATCCTTTTGTAGGCCCGTATACCACTGAGAAGGCCCAGTCACAGACGAGGACCTTCTTTTGATAACTGGACATCACACAGAAAGGATCTCTGGAGTCAAAGGCTCACCACTTGTTGAATGACAAGTATCATGCCCACGTTGCAGTATCAACTGAATACCATCAACCAAGGAAAGCAAGCTGTAACATGGAAGTTTATTTCCCATTTATACATGTACATAAATGTTTCCATGAAATGCACACTCCGTGGCTCAAAGCAGTGCCTGTCCTGTGTATTTGCTCACACTCTTAAGAAATTACTACTTCCTTATTCTTTAAAGAGAAAAATCATCCTAAAGAATGGTCAGCCATCAGTTAAAATGGAACTAAGATTTGATCTTTAGCGTATTAGCTGGGAAGATTCAATTTTTGTTGCCCTTGAGACTAGGAGGTGTTTCGTATATTAAATTCCTATTGAAAATTGTTCCAAGCAAAAATAATTCCGTTTTTCACTTGCCTAAATACAGAGATACATCTGCTCTGCAACAAAAATACAAAGCAATATTCAGTAAAACAAAAAACGTTTATTTGAAAAGTATTATCACTAACCAGGGAAAATAGGTTTTGGGAGTTTTATGTAATTTTGTAATATTAATCCAAATTTTAAATATTTGGAATGTTTCTCTAATATCTTTTTCTCTAATAAAAGCATTTGGATTTGCTGTTGCCAGTGTAAATCACTAATAGTGCTACTAGATTCATGTCTCTCACAATGCTCAGAAAAAGCAAATTTCAAATAGCAATTCATTAATTCATACTCAGATAACCTAGAGGAGTTAAAATCAAGAGTATCTTCTGATTTTGTGCAAAGCAGAACTTACTAAAAAGAACTGTAAAAGTCAGAATTGGGATTTCATTTCCAGACTTTGGATGGAAATGCCTTTCCTTTAATTTATCAACATTCCTTTCCTCCAATTTATCACCTCACTCCTTTATTTAATCTCTCCAGCTCCTCTTTCTCCTTGCTATAGGCCAGATTTGTGCTAACAATCTGATGATGGACAAGGGCATTAAAGTTGTCACAAGTGGCAGCTGTGAATGCTTTCAACATGAAGGAATCTTTGGCCCCTCCAGCATAAGAGTACTATTTAATTGCACAAGGCACTGGAACCTATTTGAAAGATGCTCCTTGCCATCAATACCCATGTAATACACATAACATTTTCAGGGATTCACAGTACACAGGGAAAAATTCAAACTAAGGCAACTTGGAACTACCTTAAAGCTGCTCTTAATTACCCTGGTGGGGAGGAGGAATCCTTTACTCACCTTCCTTACATTTAAATTCCCTACTTTCAGTTTTCATGCACTGTAGAATTGGCCCAGCCTGCATCTCAGCTCGCATGCTACCACTGCTTTTGCCACTACGTTCTGCACAAATATAATGCTTCTCTTTCCATTTGTCAAGAACCTATCTATATACACGCAACTTAATAAATTTTTTGGCCATTTATTTCTGCTGGCCCTTACTACTGTGATATCTGCATGCTAATTTGGTATAATGGAACTTCCATCTTTTCAAAGACAGATATAAATGTCTAATTATCCAAAGTAAACAAAACTTTCTTTTCTCCCATTCCTTAATTTAAAAGCCATTCCTTAAGTTTAGTAGTTACAAAACTAGTGGACAGTCTGATATACACCAATATTCCTTGAATCTGTAACTTCCCCAGCCACAGCAACAATCTACACACCTGTCATAACCACTGCTGGACTGACCTTTTTCATGCTGGAGGATATTTGGGGAGGCCATGTTAACTGAGCCTGTCTTCAGATCTCTCTTCCCATGTTCTTAGAAGTGATCCTTGATTATTTCCAAGCTAGGTATCAGTTGCTCTTATCAATGTGTCTGAACCAGTCAGAGTATTTTTTTCTTTCTTTACATAGCAAATCCACCTTATTCCTCAGAGCTAAGAGTGAAGTCTTGAGCCCAGAATGAGGATGCCTATCCCCACACAAGTTATTATTTTGCAAAGAAATACTCATTTCCTTCAAAAGGAATGCACACACTTGTAGCTTTGTGTGTGCCTCTGTGTGTGTACACATCATCACTCAATAGATCCATCCATTTGCCAGGCAAGATATGTTAGTCAAATATTATGTTCCAGGAAGGCAAAACAAGTAATTTGTCATGTCAGATTTTCAACACTCACATTACCACCAGCTTTTGTTTCCCTGCATGTGTTTTTTCAGATCAGGAACATACCTGTGTTATTTTTTGCTATAATACAGGGTGAAGACATTGTTATTTCCTATGTAGTACAATAAGTACAATAAACATAGAAGAAACCCTTGAAATGCTAATGCCGTTAAAGAAAGTATACAATTCATCGAAGAAATACAGATGACACTTCACAAAATGGAATCTGAACAAAGTGTTCTGCTTTGATTCAGAGTAGAAACTCCTCGCTCTTACATGTGCCTTTTGGCTAATTAATGTAATCAGAGTTTCACCTAGCTCACCTGAAACATGGAATCAACTTACCTTTGAACACGGGGATGTCGAGTGAAAGGCCATATTGTTCAGAGAAGAGGGTATTTTGGTGCAAGGGAAAAAATGGCTAAGAGGAATTATAAAACAAAATCCTGAAGGGCTCTGAAACACACTGTCAGTACTTACACCAATGGCATGGGTGTCAGTAACTGGGACAATGTTTTCAGTGCACAGAATCTTATCTCACACTGCACAGTACACAAAAAGACAAAAATTTTAAGAATGTTCCAAACCAAGCATAAGCCCCAATTTACTATGCTACCTTTTCTTTATCTTGCTTAGATAGGTAATTAGATATTGTATGTTTCTAGACATACTAACTCTAAACATTGGCACAATTTCAGGTAGGTAACGTGGAATATCTGAACCCATGGGTTTTTACAAAAAGGATATTTTTTCAGCATGTATAGAGTAGCCAGTCTTGAAGCTCGAAAGTTGGCTCTGACAGATCGATAAACGGCTTTCCGGAGACCAATAAGATGCTGACTAGGATGCTGTCCAGCTTTATTAAATGGGCAAGCGGCACTGACCCTGTCAAGCAAACTTGAAAAGTAAAATGTGATACAACTGTACAGATGTCCTAAAGTATTTTTAAAAAGACAGTACATCACTTTTCTTATTCCATTACTTAGAAAACTTTTTCAAACCACTCAGTAACTATGAGAGAAAAAAAAATAATCCATCATATCAATGATATATTTAATAAAAATTTCAGATAAGCAGCCAGGATTCCCCAGTAGACAGCCTGATTCTATTCTCATCTGAGCCATGGCAAAACTCCTGAGGACATTTGTTTTCTCCAAAGTTTTCCAAAATAACACGCTAAGGGTAGACAGGCCATAACATTATCTCTGATACAAAACTATCACAAGCCCACTGTAAGCTTCGGAAGTTTTAACACACATATATTTAACATACACCTCTTTATATGCAAATTTGTTCTTTAAATAATTTTTGCAGAAAAAATGTGCTACTACATATTGTTTTTCATGCAAAACACTATATTCTTTCAACCTTCTCCATGCAGAATCTTCTCTAGGTCAACAGAAATATTATTTGAGTGGTGACATAGATTTTATCACCATGCAATGAATGACAGCTGTGTTTGTGGGAGTTTGACAGGTAAACACATGCTTATGTATGCAATTATACAAACATATTTGAAAAAATATTTTGGTGTCCACATATTCAGGTAATTTACATTTAAAAGAAACCATGCCATTTGCCTATGAGAATATACTTCAACGTGGCTTTAGAACTGTAAAAAATTGCCTCATCTGGAAATAAACTGAATTGTGAACTGGGTGAATGTTAAACATGCCTGTGTAGCGTTAAGCTGTAGAAAAGGAAAAAAAGATTAATATCCAGTTATATCTATTCATGTACAGTCTGATGCCAAACCTATGACTGAGAAACTGAAAATAGCCTAGGTGCACTCTACTTGCTGGGACTGTTTTTACTAGAATCAACTCAGGAATGGACGTAGTGTGGACAACAGGACGATGAATTGTGATGAACTGTTTGGGGACTGGAAGCCTGCTTCTGCTCTCACCTTTCCCAGGGCACGGTGAGGAGGTGATTTCATGTCCACAGTCACTTAAAAGGGAAAAGCATACAGGGTAGCTGGCAAGACTGAGGTGGGTTGCTGCATTGGTAACTATTTCTGTAGCCCATCTGACTGAAGAGCTGACTAAGCCAGCAGACCTGACCCTGCTGGAAAATCATCAGTCCTACTGCATGTGCTTAGCTGGACCATGCTGCACATTGACCGGGAGGGGAAATAGCTTATGGCCTTCACTGTCAAATATGAAAAGCAATGCAGCCCACACAGTGAGCAAGGCTGGACCCATATCAGTATGTTAAATATGATTAACGCAAGGAGATTGATGCCAAATACTGCAGTATATTGAATACACTAGCTGAAATACCATATTAAAATATCTGCGTACCATATTAAACTATGAGTGGTATTAAAATGGTTTATATAACATCTCATAAAGTACTTTAAAATCTGAACAAAATAAAAACAAACAGCGTTAATTTCAATTTCTAAAAGTAAAATTAAAATGCTAGTCTTGCCATACGTATCACTAGGGAACACAGCATATAATGTAGTACATGCCAATCTCTAACGTTTCCCTAGCTTTTGAAGGTAACAACTGGAAGTGTTTATGGATAAACTCTCACATCAGTTTGTAGACTCAAGCCCTGGGTGAATTGTCAGAAGTAGGCTGAAAGAAAAGGAGCAAAATTCTTCTACCATAAAAAAGAGAAAGAGATCTATGTTCTGCTACAGTGATGTAAGCATTTCCAGCTCCTTTACAGAACAAATATAGCACAACTCACGCACAGCGTGTACTGCCAGTATTCAGCAAAACAATTTGCTTTCCTTCTGGGAAGGCTTGTTTCGGTGTTTTTTTATAAAATAATTCTTTTTTATTCCAGTAATCTTAAATTAGCATAACTTGCTACAAATGTCTGTGCCAGACATGCCATACCCCTAACCTCCTAATGTTCCATTTATCTTGTATATATTTTAATTGCACTTACAAAATGTTATCAGCTTTGCGTATCAGCCACAAATAGCAAGAAGAAAAAAAGGTTAAGGGTGAATTTCCTCTTTCCTACTGCTCCAAACCCATTTTACTTGTAAAGAACAGTGAATTATTTCTCCATTAATCTCACAAGCCAAACTTTAAATAGGCTCTCAACTTTTAACAAACTTGTACAGACACATTAATAAAAACCTATTACTGCACTCCAACATGAAAGCAGTTCTACAAAGATGCTACATACACCAATATGTGCTCATTGGTGCTAGCCTGATTCTAGTTTAAAATATAGTAGAAAGGGAGCATGTTGGAAAAAAGCTAATTATTTCAGTGACAGACAAGGAAATAACTATTTGCTGCTTATTGCTGCAGCCTTTCATTACGTATTCCTACAGTTTTCATTTTATAATGTGCAAGACAATGGACATACTTCCATTACCCAGCAGAAATTCCAGGCTGCAACCCATGAACAGGTTTCATTCGTCTAATTGCTAATGAAGCAATTAGACAGAAATACTGCCATTCTGCCTGAGTAGAGCACTGCCCTACCTTGGCTACACAATTTCTGTAATCCAGACTACCCTGGTGAGGTCTTGGCCATCTCTGCATCGCAGAGCTTGTACCCTGCAGACATACCTGAAATGCCAAAAGCAGCGTTAAACACTTCTGAAGGCCATTCTGAAATTGGAATATCCAGTTGCCTTTGAGAGCAGCTAACATAAGAGAGGCCTGACAGGGTTCTTAGTTCCTTTTCTAAGTGGCTGCTGTGGGTTTTTTTGGGTGGGAGGGGAATGAAGGCAAAATGATGCTTGAATTGGTTAAGCATATAGCAGTCACTACCACACCGTAGTGAACTAGTGAACCAGTGGACAACTGACCAAAACCTCATCAAGAATAATTTAACATTTACAGAGATAGTCAAATATCAATTAACAAGGGGCAAATAGGGTAGAATAAAGCAAAGCCATAGATATTTCAAAGCATATGTAAATTAGCCTACAAGAACATAGCAATGGATGGTGCAATGGGGAAAAAAAACCAGCGGTGGAACGCAAGGAACTTCAGGCCAAAGCTGCAGACCTGGGCTTGCCATATCAGAGTTTAGCTAAATACAGCTAGCCAAAATCTGAACTCAGTACTATTTAAATGTCAGCTTCAGTACCTTTCCATTCACAATATGGTTAATGCACAGTCCAAACGATGCTGAGCTAGCAGTATATTAAAACAGCAGCATACATATTGTTGAACAGGGTGCTGTGCTACCTGGTTGAAAACCCATTCCTTCAAGTACGTAAAATGACACAAGAAGATACTCATTAACTTTTCAGCTGCAACCATTTCTATTGCCATAGGGCTCTTTCTGAACAAGCATTAAGGCTTTGACGAAGCTACTATAGGAGAACATACTAAACTTTGTTCTGCTAAGGTTTATTGTAGCAAAATTCTGGAAGAAAAAAGGGGTAGCTATTTTTCTGGATCATACATGAAGCGCCATCTCAAGCAAAGCATTTCATGGTGCCCTGTGCAGCAGCATCTCTTGCATATGTGAATGCAGAGGAGGACACTCTTCAGTTAGAACTTCCTCCAGGCTAAACCAAACCAAAACCTGTACAGCACTGACTTCTTCATACTGGACGATTGTTCCAACGTCAGACTTCTCCCACTCCATCCATACTCCAAAGTCTTTTGAAAAGCTTGCCAAAGTTTTAAGTGAAGAGGCTATTAGATCAAGCATCAGCTTAAAGACCAGTCTGTTTTTTGTTAATCTGTTATCTAAGATATGTAGTAAAAGAACAAGGCACCAGCAATTTAGACACTGACCACAAGTTCGTTTGCTTAAACTTAGGAAAAAATCCAAATGTTTTTCTCATCTGTAATTTGACAAGCCCTAACAATAATTTCTTTTAAGAACCCGTTTGCAAAGATAAGACTGCCTACTGCTTAACTATATGCTTCTTCAGCAAAAACCAAAACAAAACACATAGCTAGGCAGACTGAAGACATGCTTATGCATTCCAAAGGCAGAATGCAACATTTCTTCAATGAAGCATAGTGAAGGTATCTCAAGCTAAAAAATTAATTCAAAACACTAAGCCTACAGTTTCAAGCTTGCATGTAAAAACATGTGCCTGAGCACAGAATAGTTGGTCTGGCATGAACAAACAATTTCTTGGTACACACAAGGGACTTTTTTATTGTTTTTAGAAAGAAGTCAACTGGATTTTAGCCGTTGGCGTTTCCCACCTCCTTTAACCTTATGTCTAACTGGCACAGGTACATATCTAACCATAGATTGTTACAAGAGAAAAGCATAGATGGCAATGAGAGTACAAAGAAGCGGGCCTGTTGGCTTTGGGATCATTGCATACACTGAACATGTTCTGATGTCCTTTCACATAGCAAATAAGCAAAAATTACCAAATAGCTACAAGACCTAAATAACCAGGAACACTTTCACATCCCTTAAGTGGACGAGAGGCTAATTCAGCAGTAAATAATTTAAGAATCTAAACATCTCAACAATTGTATGCAAGAAAAAAAAAGAGTAATGTAAACTTGATTTGAGGTGGGAAATGACCTTTGATGGTCTTTGCTGATCGCTGTGTTCTCATTACTTGAATAAAAATAGAATGATTTTCATGTCATCTTGTTTTCTAAAATATGAATGATTACTTGCAGGTCAGTTTATTTACATAGATTTGGTAATATAAGATACAAAAAACCCTCAAACAAACAACCCTCTAAATGACTCACCAAAATAGTTAACTAAATTGGTTCAAAATCCATTTCTTCATGTATTTCATTGCTAGCAGAGCAGAAGATTTCAAAGGCATATGAGTTTTGTGAGACTTAATTCTCCTTCAGGATGCAGGGTTTTAACACCAAGTTGTTAGAATTTATACTTTTAGTATGAATGGTAATTATACTATTTTATGTAAATGAAAAGCTTTAAGTATTATGTTTTTCAGTAATTCCACTTGTTATGGGAGACAGCGTAACAAGACCATTTTAGAAGACATCTGGCTTGAATGGATCTGTGTATTAAATAAAGTGAAATATAGACTCACAGGGTAAATCCTCTGGAAATTACTTCAGTCTCTTGAATGAGTCGTAGAGCTTTCCTCACGAGATTAGTAAAAGCTCGGCTATTCGCCACTGTTTCTTCCAGCTGGATACAGTATTTTCGCAGGGACATTTGCAGCTTGGCTGTCCTCCATGTGCCCCACACTCGAAAGACTGCATAGACAAGCAGAACTAGTCCCCACAGCAGCCACGATGACTCCTTCCACCACGAAGGAAGCATAAGCAGTGCACTTACAAAGGCAAGAAACAGCGAGACATCCCTGCAAACAGAGAAAGTATCATCAAGCACAGATTCCTGAGGTCAAACAAGTGGGAAAATCATGAAGCTTTAGGTTACATTTGAGATTACGACATCTTATTACAGGTCTTTTATGTAGGTCCTGAAGGGAGCTGTAAACACTGAAAACTACTCCTAGTGACAGATTTAGATGTATACATACATGATATTACTTGGGTCTGTATACTCCAAGGAAACATTTATCCGGCTTTTTTATGGCACGAGTAAAAGAATAATGTACCACTTTGAAAGGTCAGTTTCTCTCGCACATATGACTTTAAAAAAAAAAAAAAAAAAAAAGGAAAAGAAAATAGAGAAAGAAAAAAACCTGACTACTCAGCATTATAAGCCAGGGTGGGTAGGAACTGGAATATCTGTGCTTCCAGGTTCAAGAGTACAGTAGGGAAGGGCATGTTTCTTTTGGTAACAAAACCCCCAAGTAATGCCAGCTTTATTTTTTCCAGAGTCTGACTCATTTAACTTGGACACCAACACACCACTAGTTTTTAACACATTTTTATAAAGATGGCTTGAATAATAATTTTAAATAATTTGGCAGCTTTTGAAAATCTTTAAAGAACAGAGTTACTAGTATCTCAGAATAGAAAAATTCAACAAAAATAAGTAACTGCTAGAAAATACACGATGGTTCATATATAGTATTATAGTTGCAGTTTTGTAAAATTATGACAGTTTTCACAGAGAGGGATGGGATATGGGCTTCAAGGTGCATAACAACTTCACTTTTTCAGAATTTTCTGAAAGAAAAATATTCACTTTCTTCACCCCTTAAAGCTGCGTATCCTGTATTTAGTTTTGGAAGTATTCACAAGGAATATTTTCCCATTTCTAAAATAAGACATGATCTCTGGGTTTCTATTTTCTGGACAGTTTTGTGGTCATATTTTAACAAGCCTTACAAGTGTTAACTCTTCAGGGCTACTGATATGTTTCAGTAAAGGTCCAGTGTTAAAATATTCCAGATACGTAATTAACTTTAAAAGTGGCAGACACACAGTCTATAACTTCCTTGGTACATTAAAAAAAAAAAAAAAAAAAGAGTCACGCACACACAAAATGAATCACAACAATGAAAGACTGGAAGGGATTTAAGAGCTCACTTTGCCCATTTTCAGTTTCTGGTTAATCCAGATCATCACGGACAGACTGAAGAAGAAAATGGAGACTCCACAACCCACCCAGGTAGCTATTCCAATTCCTAAGTATCCTTAGAGTTCAAAAGATTTCCCCCAAGTCCAGTCTGAATCACTGGCAAATTAATCGCATTATTTTTCCTCATATGCTTCCCTTTTCTGAACAGAATAAACAATGACTGATCACCACCTTCTTATTAACTGTGTTCTACACATCGTAACACTGTTCCATCCCACCTCAATTTTCTCCATTTTGGCCAAACAATTCTAGCACACTCTAATATTTCCAAAAGATTATATTTTCTAAACTCATTCTTCTTCTTGTTCTGCTCTGGACTGCCTCTAAATTACCTATGCCTCTCCAAGTGTGGCATCCAAAACCAGATGCTGTAGTCTAACACAAGGCTTAGGGAAACACAGAAAAGTAAACCCCCGTGTCCTGCCTATAACAAGGCCACCAGGATGAGATTTGCCATTTTCAGAATAATTTGCTGACGCATTCAATTTATGCTCTGCAATGATGTGCAGATCCTTTTCTGAAGTAGTATTGCCTACCCAATTATTCACCACTTTGTGTTTGTTAATTTGATTTTTCCTTCCCAAGTGTAGCATTAGACTTTTGTCTTTATTGACTCTTCTATTGATTTCAAACTATTTCTCTAATCTACTTTTGAACTCCATTCTGCCAAAACACTTACAAACTTGGTGTCATCTGTAAGCTGAGCAATATTCACAAATTTTGTAAGTTGTACTTTATCATCTGAATAGTTAAAGAAACAATGAATAGTGCTAGGACCAGGACAAACCACTGGAAAAAGCTGGTTCAAAAGTTCTCTTGTTTGACAGAAAGCATCAATAATGACATATTGCAACTTAAATGGTTGGGTTTTTTAACTTGCTGTGGCTTTATAATAATTTTATCTATTTTCCTAACAAATGTATGAAAACATAGCACTGGACTGTGTTATGAGATTTTTTTAATCTACTGATTCTTGTCCATTTCCGAGCAAGTCACTCTGTCAGAACACCCACCATCCTCGTTATTTTTCAAATACAGGTGGTAGCTGTTCAGACACTGCTGCAGCTAGCTCCTTCAGTATTCTAGGGTGAATTTCACCAGCCTTTGCTGACTTGAATGCATCTTATTTAAATATTCTTTAGTCTGTTCTTCTGGTATTCTACGTCTGAAAATTAATTGCATCCCCCCCAACATATTTTATGAAGACCACAGCAAAGAAAACACTTCTCAATTCAGTCTTCACAATCATGTTTCATTTATCAAGATCACCATTGTATAGCTTTAGAAATTAATGAATTAATCAACCACGTTAGTTCTTCCTTATAGCACATATTAGGGTTTGGAAGTATCCATTCATGTTCAGGTAGCTATCTCAGATTAAAACTTACTCTTTCAATGAAACGCCTGAGGAAAAAAGCATGCTTATACAAAAATTTGGGGACTATGGACAAAAATTTTTTTCCTCAGACAAAGCCTGAGGAAAAAAGTAGTCACTTTATTGCTGCATTTTATATAAAGAGCACACAATATATTTTTTGCTTGTTTCTCAGTGAATATAGTGGTAGATATTCTCTGTACAATACCAAATATTAGGAGTTGCTAGGGAGCGTAGCGTTGGAAGCTGTCCATTTTCCTGTTGCTTACACTGCCCTGCAGACAGGATACTGGGGTCAAGGAACTCAATCAGTTCCACATCCTCCTGCAGCAGAACTTCCTGTTGCAGGATGGTACGGAGCGTGTCAAATCGAAATCCAACATCCTTACCACAAACAGGCAAGAGAAAAGACAGGCATTAGTAAAGAATATGCAAATTCTTAAAATTAGGTTAGCAGAACAAGGAAAACACCCAGACACTCTACTGACAACAATCTGTTCCCAAAGACTACAGGAACGTTTCAGATATATCACAAGTAGCTACTTCATTTTTATTAAACTTGCTTAACTTCAAAAACTCACATACTACCTAAAAGTTCAGACTTACAGGATGCATCGCACTGACTTTGTGATCTGACCTAGATAGTAACAATACCTGGAAACATGCCACAGATTATGCCAATATATTTGCATAAGAATCAGAGAGGTACTACCTCTATTAGAAGATCATTAATAAAACAGCAAACACTTTTTTTTTTTTAATGTCATGACATAACTTACATCATTAACAAACAAAACAAAAATTAGAAAGAGAAAGAGAGATATTACAAATTAGTTAACAAGAAGTCACCTGTGGACATTTAATAACAGTAGGGTCAATGCACTGGACTCAAGGCCCCAGCCAAGGCAGTGAAGTCCTCTCCTGCAGGATTCTGTGCCTTTCCCAAGGGAACTTGATCCAAACATGAAACAGCATGGGAGTCTGAAGACCTCACACTTTGTAAACTCCAGGCAAACTTCAGGGAGTGAGTTACTCTGGATTTGATGTCACAATAAGCATTTGCAT